TGAACTCAACATACCAGTCATTGTTTATCGTATTCATCATTTTCCTGCCAACTACTCCCTTCATCAAATAAAACAATTTGGGAATTGGCCACTCATGTCCACTAAGGATCAAGCCGTATAGCAACTCTTCCGTCCGCTACCTACCTGATCACGTCAGTGGGGCTTGTAACAAATTTATTATTATATGTTTATTTTAATATCAACGTTTGTTTAGATTAAGTTTATATTTAAAAACATGCATAGCTTATACTGTTAGATATGTATTGCGAAACTCCCGCCTATTCTCCGAAGTTGTAGAAGATTCTCGAGTGCAAGAATCAACAATATATGTATGCACCTAATGCTTAAATTTGTATTGTTACCCAATCTGAATTTTCTAGAAAGCCTCCACATGCCTATAAATATGACCAACGCGATGTGCCAGAAGAGACTATCTATTATTAGTTCGCTATAGTCAGTGTGCTATAAACTTTGGTTTGTTTGTTTGTAGTTTAGCACAAAGCTACACAATGGGCTATCTGTCCTCTGCCCACCACGGGTATCGAAACTGGGGGGCATAAACTTCGGAAGCTATAACTGTTATAACACTTATCAATTGGAAAACTTCAGATATTTGACCAGGAACATTTACAAAGTTCGAACAATACAATTCATTTAACTTCGGGCCCGGCATGGCCAGGTGGTTAGGGCACTCGACTCGCAATCTGTAGGTCGCGAGTTCGAATCTCCGTCACACCAAACATGCTCGCCCTTTCAGCTGTGGGGGCATTATAAATTGACGACCATTCCCACTATTCGTTGGTAAAAGAGTAGCCCAAGAGTTGGCGGTGGGTGGTGATGACTAGCTGCCTTCCCTCTACTCTTATACTGTTAAATTAGGGATGGATAGTGCAGATAGCCCTCGTATAGCTTTGCGAAAAATTCAAAACAAACAAACAAACATTTAACTTGAGTGGATTCTCATCAGACATCAGTATTTTTTCGAAAACAATACACAACGTCAAGGAGGAAAACCTGTTGTGGATGACTGATAAATAACGAAGGACAAATCTAGCTAGCTTCCCGTGTAGTGAATTATACCTACGTCAACTCGTAATCAACTCGCACATCGTGAACTCTCGATAAGATTTGGAAGAAGTTCCAGACTAAAAGGAAGACTTTATATTGCTTGTAAGTTTGTGAAATGTTTGTTTATAAATCATTGTTTGTAATAACTGGTATTGTAAACTGTATTTTCGGGTGTATATTAAAACGTATTTGTATAAAATAAAACTGTGTGTGTATTAATCTTGTTGGCAAATATCATAAACTGATTATATATCGGCATATATTTAAATACTAAATCCAAAGTACAATTT